GATGTCTATTAGTTAAACATTTTACCATATTAACCCACAGTGTCTCCCCCTTACTGTGTGTGTTCACTGCATTTAACCATGAGTTGTTAGAGAGGTTCCTCTACTGTACTTCCTGTTAAATTGGCAATCCATAAGAGCTTTAGCTGGAAAGCAAACATCGCTGTCAAGAGTACTGAGAGAGCAGTTGGAGGGCTGTTATGTGCCTGTTAGAAGAGTACATTTGTTTAACATTGCAGGAGGGCTCATTGAAACCAGACAGCAGGTCTCGGTAAAGGCAATAAATCTACACACACAAAAAAGAGAGGCAAAACTGCTCCGTGAGTTTTGAGATACAGAACAAGACAGAGACAGACTCACATGGGCATCCTCTGCAGGTGAAAGGTCAAGTGGGTGTTATCGTGGTAAGATAGTGGAGCCAAGACATACGCAATGAATTCATGGTGTTTTCAAGACAAAGCTTTATTTATGACAATGTGCCATTACGTTGAGGAGAAAATAAACAGTTTAATTAGAAGGCATAAGAAGGAAAAACCCTTTGTGAGACTTTTCTGGGCAAAACAAGAGAAAAGAGAGACTAAGAAGGCTTGAACTCATCTAAAGTCGTACCCGCTGCGATTTCTCTCTTGGCATCCGAGGCGTATCGATCGGGGAATGTTATTGGGGGATCCTGCGAGAGATGATTAATCATAAGTCACTTTTCTCCACTGTGCGTATGGATCAGTGCCAAAGAGAGAGAGAGAAAGAAATTGTCCTCAATCTACTGTCCCGCTGATTTTCATAGCAGCCATTTCTCCCACTACTGCCCCGCTCTCTCCATCTTATCTCAACTCCTCGGTTTCTCAATGTTTTTCGAGGAGCAAGTAAACAGAGTGAAATGGCCCCAAACAGAGATTTGGAGAAGCTGATTTCTTCCCTCCTTCCTTGAGTGGTTGTGCTCACCAGGCTGATACGTGGCATCTTTTTGTTTGTGCCCACAGAAATGATTCAGTGGCGTATTGAAATTACACAGTGGGCTCTTGCAGAGGACTTTTATGATTCAGGTCAAATATTGGACGCTCGTGACAAACTGAAGTACTCAAGGCAAGAGGACTTGTGTTAAGAGTGTTAAGATGTTGAAAAGATGAATACTTCTCGTTTGATTGCACATATTCCTATTGCTTGTCTTTTAGTGCTTAAGCTTTGTCTCTGTGAGCAGTTTAATTCCTCATGTACTGTGATCGCTCAACAAAAAGGATAAGGATTTAATGAATGTGTCTCCATTTCACTAATTATATTTCAAAAAACCTTGCTTGGCTTTCATTTCTGACATTTTACACGTGTCCTTTTGGTTTCAGTATTTCGAAAACAAAGGCTTTGATTGGCATGATAATCCAGATCTGCCTTAAAGTCTGATCCACATGTAGCACCCAAAGCCCCATCCATTTCATCATGGTTCACATACCTTGACTATAACACTATATCACACATTTAGCATAACCCAGGCTTACCGGCAGTGCCACAAATATGTCCAATGCCAACATTTAAAAAACGTCTCTAATTATAAAATACTTGCACATGGCAATTTGGGCATGGTGAATGTGGTAATGTGCTTCAACCAAAATGCTTACCGGATGGTGGAACTGCTTTTGAAAGTCCCTCCCACCATTTGTGTACCACATCAGATTTGGTAAAGATGAACGGTTTGAACCTTTTTACATTTTAACCCAATCGGTTAAATCGCTTTTCATTCATGTATGAGTGCACCACCTAAAAATATGTAAACTCTTGTTTCTTAAAACCAAAACTCACGATTGGTCGATACTTCCCTTTGTCATTGGGACGCCTAGAAGCAGTTGAGACCAGTTCTCTGTGATTTTGTATCGCGTCACGCCCCTCACTTCAGCAATAAGTGACAGGCATCAGTTTGAAGCTTCGTGTAATTGGCTTGAAATGGACTTATAGCTTTTTGCTGTGTCATCTGTACTGAAAGCCAGTCAGCTTAATCAGAACTACCACTTGGATGGTCGAATAACTTCAGAACAGAAGCCCCTCCTTTCCCATGTCAGATTAGTTTAGCCTGTGCCCCAAAAACTTCTGGTACTTACTTTGACAATCCAACAATTCATTTCTAACTCAACTTCTTCCGTCAATATGGATGAACCCCCATCCCCCGATATGATGTTTGTCTTTTCACTCTAGGTTTTGAGTGGTCAGACACGACACATTTCAACCCTTACATCCCCCTTTTCTACACACTGCTTCTTGCATTGGCACCGAACAATGTCTTTGTTCCTTAATTACAAATATGCCAATAAAGCCTTAATCATGACGAATGATGATGTTTGATTGGCATATTGGCTGCTGTTGAGATTGAACCTGTGAGTTCTCCAGACACACTAGACACTACTCAGGTTTTACACATTCATGCCTAGAAGCAGTACAACCTCAATCTTGTGCTGTCAGACACACCGCAGCTCTCTGGAGTTATTGGTATTCAAGGCTGCATTGTGCTTCAAACAAAGTGCTGTTCGACACAATGGATGCAGTCATATTCAGTCTGAACAGTTTTGTATTGTTGGTAAACCAACAATCTGACAGTGACTCCCACTTTCTGGAAGTTTTCTGGAATGAAAATTGTGCACAAACATAATCAGAACAACTGTCATCCTCCTTTGTATCACACAAAATTATTATTTTATTGTATCACACCTCTGATTTGTTTCACCACCTCATGTCGCTGCTCAAACTCAGCGACTCACCTCTCATAAATAATGAATTAGGGCAGACTGTTTGTCTTGTGAAATCGTCTGCGAGTAATGTAAGCGCCTTGCTCAAGGGTGTAGTTGATCAGAGAGCGAAAAATCGGCTTCTCAAGTGCACTGTTCTCGCCTTTAGGCCAGCTGTTCTCTGTAAATGTTTGTTAATGCCTGCTTTAAAATGCTCAACATCCCTGTTGCAGCAAGGATTCCAGTCTGCACAAATATTCTGGTCTAGGGAATGAAAATGCTAGAGTTACCTGTGCATACAAATGAACACTGCATGCAACAACAACAAAAAAAGCACAATTTACCCAGGAACTCATTAGGGAATCAGCGAGGCAGGGCTTAATGTTGTTTTGATTGAATTGTAGTTATCAGTAGGCCACCGTGATGAAGCTCAATTAGAGCAGTATGCTATATGCTAAGCAGAGGTAATCACTGGGCGGAGGGGCAGACTTATGTGGAGGCAGGGATATTCACTCTGGACTGAAAAGGCGAGGGATTCACAATAGGACCTGGAGCCGTGGAGAGCGGCTAATGAGCCTACATGATTCACTCTTGGTCTCCCCCACGGAGAGGCTTGTCCTGGGCAGAGCGGAGGAGCGAGATGTGTGCGCTCCAACACATTCCATGACGCAGCCTGTCAGAGCCAAGAGCGTAAAATGAAAGTTTGCCTTGCCAATTTTTGGATGAATGAAGGTCTTCTGTGTTGGATTAGAGTCTTAAATCAATCAAGAGACAAGGCATTTAAATAAACAATGTGGCTGTATCTCCCCCATTAAACCTGATGTTCCAGAAAGCTCATAAGAACATTTTATTTTGAACCTTCACAATAAAAGACTACAGATATTCTGTACAGATATGCCTAATCCTGAATGCAAAGGAATGACTTTTCTGACAACTTTATGGCTTTTTTTGTTGTTGTCTGTGCATTAATTGTGTGAAAACCTTTCTTTTATGGAGGTTAAGAAATAATTTATCTACAGCATTACTTCACAATTAAAGGACAGTGTCAGAAACAGAATATCTTTATTGTCATCATACTCTTATACCACAACGTTTTGTACACAACATTGGAAGAAATAAATAACAGCAGTGATTCAAGCAGTAATAGCAGCAAATAATAGACACTAGGCATATTAAATGTCATGTAAATGAACATTTTTACAGATTGTACAAAGACGAAAATGTAAATGTGATCGTATCAGAGCCTTGGTGTTTTGTGTAGAGTTTGCATGTTCACAGTTTCCTTTCATATACTTTCCTTGCTACCAGAGTCCAACGATTTGCAGTTTCTATGAACCTCAAACTCCAAATCACCTGTACAGTATGTGTGAAATTGAGTGCAAAGGTTCAGTCTGGCTGTGAGACTCCTGGCGTTTGCATTACATATTTATTACTTATAATAGTATTATCATTAATCATACAATACCAATGCTGACTGTGGTATTCAGCAGATCTGTAATGTTTATTACATAGACTAGAACAAATAAAAACATATAATCCACCTGTCGAAAAAGCTTTTTGCACTAAAGGCTCCTTTTTTAACAGGATTTTAAGAATATTTTTTTAATTTAATGAGCTATAAGTTGTTTTGACAAAACTAGTAATGTTTTTTTCTTTCTTTTATTTACCATAACGTAATGATTTGATTCCTTTCAATCTTCCAGAGTCTGTGTAAGCATTATGATTGTCTTTCTGTACACATTTCATTTGACTACAGACATAATAACGAAGGATAATCAATATTCCAACAATGTCATCCTCAACTATGCGAGGTCTGTCAAATGTCCTCTTGTAGTTATTTAAAAATTGCTTATAAAACATCCATTCAGACTTTTAAACCGACTCGCCTTCTGATTTTTGCACTTTGCACATGATTTTTTAAATATGTTTTTATTTAATGAGCTATAAGTTGTTTTGACAAAACTTAAGTAATGCTTTTTTCCTTTTACTTACCATCAATGATTTGTGTATTCATTCCTTTTAATCTTCTAGTGTCTTGTGTGAAGCAATGTTTATGTTTCTTTATACTTTTCATTTGAACACATCATAATGAAGGATAATCAATATTCAGATAATGTCATCCTCAACTATGGGTTAAAGCGAGGTCTGTCAAATTTCCTCCAGTAGTTATTAAAAAATTGCTTCTACAACATCCATCCAGACTTTTAAACCGACTCGCCTTCTGATTGGCCGAGCAGCGGTCACGTGGGGGTAGTGCAGTCAGTCGCTGTGCCGCGAGCAGCGCTGAGTGGAGCCTGTCTGCCAACAGCTTCAGCAGCGGCTCTATCTGGAAACCCACTACACTCACTGACAATTAAAAGGAGGCCCCTTTTTCTTTCTTATTTCCGAGGAATATTCACCACCATGGGCGACAAGAAGAGCCCTACCAGGTAATGCGACAACCAAATGCCCAATTTCTACTCGTTTTGTGCGTTTTAGTGCTCGATATTTGCAATGCGTTTCCCTCACACGGGGATCGTTTCTCCCTTTTTTTTCAGTACGGTATGCCACAGCTAGCTAGAATAGTGCAGTCACTATGGCGGCTTCTCGCTCCCCTTACAAACCCCAGTCACTTAACAGACAAAGGGAATTTTTTCAGAGGAGACGCCTGACATTCCCTGAAACGCTCTTCCGTCTCGACGAAGCCTTTTGCAGGGTCAATGTCGAAATTGACATTGTTTGATATTGCTTTTGTTAGCCGACATGCTAAGCTTTCGATGCCGATTTTTTTTCCAGCAATGCTTCCCTGCCTGCCTCTGCTAGCCTTAGCTGGCGATGCGATCGGACGATGTGGAGCTGCGTGGTGGATTTTATTTTATTAACCCAAGGACTGGCCGGGACTCGAACCCCAGATTAATGACAACACCATGGTCCGAGCTGCACTTAGGAGCTGCTTTTATTACACAACGTGTTATGTTCGTCACAATCTCCTTACTTGTTGTTAAGGGGCGGCAGTAGCTCAGTCTGTAGGGACTTGGAGGGTCGCCGGTTCAAGTCCCAAACAGGCCAGATAAATATGTGAGTACTGTGGGCTGGTATCTGGAGAGGTGCCAGTCCACATCATGGCACTGCCGAGGTGCCCTTGAGCAGGACAGACTGGCAGCCTCTTCGCTCTGGAAACCTCTGTATAATGCATTTGTGCACCTGTATTAGAAAGATGGATAGATACTTTAAGTTGGGAAATTGTTTTGTCAGCAGCATTTTGACAGTCTATGTAAAATAATTACAAAATGTCTTTGAAATAGAATGACATACAAATAAACTATTTACATATTCTCAGTAGAAAATACATATATTCAGAAGACACATTATAAAATATACAGAATACATAAGAATACTCTCTTAAATACCAATCTACTAAAGGGACAGCCACATTTAAACATAGTGTGCTATCTGCATTTTTCGAATGCATGTGTGTATTTATACTGTACTGTGTTTATTCCCAAAATATATAACAGAGCAGGAACTGCATTTATTTCCCCAAGGCGACCAATGAAGGCTTATAATCCTACATCTTAAATAATGCATTAATGTTCAAAAGACTAACTTGACCTCTACGTTTCAGGCCAAAAAGACAAGCCAAACAGACTGCAGATGACGGCTACTGGGACTGTAGCGTGTGCACCTTCAGGAACACCGCCGAGGCTTTCAAGTGCAGCATCTGCGATGTGAGGAAGGGCACATCCACAAGGTAAAGTAGCTCTCCCTCCTCTCCCTCTCTCTCTCTCTCTCTCTCTCTCTCTCTCTCGTCTGAGCGTCTCGTTTTCCCGCTGCTTGGCTGGCTGCAGCATTGCATCGCAATTTATGGGAATGACAACTTTGATCGACAGCCTATTTGTCTGTTAGCGTATGCGGACGTGTTGATGGACACTTTTACAAACAGCCTGTTCCGTTGTCTGGATTATCCGTATTTATTTTTTAATTTGATGCTACTGGCATTGCTTTTATGCATTCGTCTAGGTATGCTGGCTGCTTCACTAGCCAAAGGGGGGGGGGGGGGGGGTTGGGGTGGGGAAGAGGGACCATACTTCATGATGGCTGTACAGCTACAGTGCATCATCGGAGCAACAGCCTTTTTTCTCATGGAGAGATACAAGATGAATGCATGCCGTTGCATTTCACCAACCTGTAGGATTGCAGATGTAATGGTTGACGAGTCATTGTGCAGGAGGTGGGTGTTCAGTTTAATAGTTAAATGAATGTGTTTTTAATCAGCATTAGAGATAAGGCCATATTTGCATATCTTTGTCCATCATGTGTTAATGTCATGTAGTCAAAGCCCAACCTGACATCAGCGTCCAGATGAGCTCCACCTGTTTAATTCTATCTATTTCAGAATCAGAAACCGTTTTATTACCAAGTAGTACACATACGAGACATTTCTTTGGTATATGTGGCGCATTTGTCTATGATAAATCGTGTTTTAAACTCAAAACAAGTGACTTTACTCGTGATTTCTCTCAGAAAATGTCTCAGAATTAGTTATATCAACGTTTCTAGCAACAGGCTTGTATTTCCCAGTTGTTTCCCGCGAGCTTCCCTTTGAACACATGTTGTCTGACGTCAGCAGAAGTCTTATGGGAAACTGAGGTGAAAGCATGCGTGTGCATTTCAGCTACCTGTAGGATTGCAGATGTTCTTCTAATGGGTAGACAAGTCAGATGTATTGTGCATGAGGCGGGCGTACAGTGAGGAGACGTTTCTTAGATAGAGAAATGTCATTGGAGATAAACCCAGATGTGCATTTTTATTATTTCTTTATCCATCATGAGTTAATGCCATGAAGTTTAAGCCAAAGCCTAATCTGACATGAGGGTCCAGATGAAGTCCACCTGTTAGATTGTATTTTTGAATAGTTTTTAAATATCAGTCCACACATTTGTCTATAATCTATAAAATCCGGATGGGTTAAATGCAGAGGTCATGTGTCAATGTGTGTGTGCTGTGTGCATGTATGTGTGACCATTACAGATGGCTTCATCCTCCAATTCTATCTAATTATATCTAATAAATCATGTTCAATATGACAAAAACAAGTGACTTTACTCATGTTTTACTCAGAAAATGTGTCAGAATGAGTCATATCAGCATTTCTAGCAACAGGCTTGTATTTCCCAGCCGTTTCACGCGACTACCCTTTGAACACATCTCACAAGTCTTATGGGAAACCGAGGTGAAAGCGACTGTATAAGTTAAAGGTCACAGCGGGATTCCCTTTCGGTTTTTGAGTCCGCTGACGCCTCCTCCCCCCTGTTCTGGGGAATGTTTTTGATGTGAAGCTGCATATACCACAATGTGACTGTGTTTACTCGTGTCATCAGTTGCATGATGAGACGGAGAGACAGATGAGTCACATGTGGGTTTGTTGACAAGTCACCCTGCACTCTAACCTTTCAAGCTGTGGTTTTACAATGAGTGGCAGCCCTGGCGCACCGCAAACGGAGGAGAAACCCTGACACTGGTTTACTGAAAACCCCAACAAATTCACTCATATGTAACTCTCTCTCTCTCTGGCTCCCCTCCCCCTCTATCTTCTCCTGGCTGCGCGTAGCTTTAGACTACAGCTGACGATTTAAGCTGAGCAAGCTGCGCGGAAAGCAGGAAACAGACGAGCACGTCGTTGCCATCCTGCCACCGTGCTTTGGCAACAGCCCAGTTGCCTCTATTTGGTAATTGGGAGCACATGACATCACAGGAGTGTTTGTCACACATTCCTGTTTGATGTGAATAGTTAACCTTTGATTAATGCAATTGTGTAGTTGTGGGGCTGCCTCTTATTCTACTGAGTACTAATTAGCTTTCTTTTCTTCTCCGTTTGATGTGCTCCAGCAGAGCATGGGACAAAGCAACATGCTCTTAGCTAAATGATTCACACTTGAGGCTACGTGTGGATGTTTGTCACGCTGCCTTTATCCGAGGCTCTGCTTTGAATGTGCTTTTGGGCGTAAGGACACGTGTGTTCACTAATTAGAGTTCCTCGCTGCTGGTAGGAGGCAAAACACTTATTTTCCTCAAAGTTGTTTTGGACTCAGGAGACAGGTGAACTTTGAAAGGTATTAGTTTGAGCAATTATGGACTGACGTGATTGGATAAGCATTGTTGTGTGTGCCTGCAAGCGTTCTCCTTCCAAAGTCCTCACATATAGCTTTATTTTCCCGTGTCCTAGGACAAAGGTCATTCTGTATTGACAGTGTAATAAGGTGAGGTTACATTACATTTAGCTGACGCTTTTATCCAAAGCGACTTACAATAAGTGCATTCGACCAAGAAGATACAAACTTGAAGAAAACAGAATCATATAAGTACATCAGGTTTCATAGAGCCAAAACATTTCAAGTGCTACTCAACTGGCTTTAGATAAGCCAGTCCTTTATTAGTATATAAGTGCTTTGTTAGTATCTAAGTGCTTAGTTAGTATCTAAGTGCGTTTTTTTCTTCCTTTTATTGCTCGAAGTGGAGTCGAAAGAGATGAGTTTTCAGTCTGCGCCGGAAGATGTGTAAGCTTTCTGCTGTCCTGATGTCAATGGGGAGCTCATTCCACCATTTTGGAGCCAGGATAGCAAACCGACATGTTTTTGCTGATGGGAACTTGGGTCCCCCTCGCAGTGCGGGTGCAGCGAGCCGTTTGGCTGATGCAGAGCGTATGGTTTAACCATGTCCTGGACACAGCTGAAGCATTGCACATACCTCCATCCATTCCTGAAAAATGGCTTAATCAAAGGGTCCTAAAGCCGATCCCTTGCACTTTTACACACCTTGTCCCAGTACTGAGGATTTGAGACGACAATATCATGTTTTTCTGATCACTTTGGAACGCTATGAAAGGTATTCATTTGTGCAGTCGGCTGACATGTTTGTTTTAAACCATTGTTTTGTGTTGTGTTACTGCCTGGAAGTGTTGTCCTTCCAAAGCAGCTTAATCCTGCGGGAGATCTAAGCTGCACTTTTATGTCAAAATTGATTTTACTTGTTGTGGATTGATGCTTTTTGTTTACTTGGTCTCAATGTGATTAAATGAGTTGTGGTCTTATTGGGTATGTTATCCTATTGTTTTTACCGTCTACAGTGCATCACGCCTCGAGCACTACACCAAATGAATTTCCCTGTGTGGGATATTAAAGTTGATCTGAATCAGGGAAAGCTGTTGTTACAGGTAGCCGTCAGCAGAAATGAGTGCAGCGGTGCGGCTCACAGCTGCAGGTTGAGTCACACAGGGTCTGTCCTACAAGAAATTCAACAATCCAAACAATATTTCCACCCCCCTGAGCTTGATACATCCATCCATCCCTCACAGTGTGCACTGAGTCATTGAGACGCAAGCTGTGTGTGCAGGTGTAGATGGAGAACACACAATTAACATGATCCTCAGTGGGTGACAGACGGGAGGCTTGAACTGCACTTTGTCCCCTGCCAGCGGTAGGAACGCTAGGTAAACGAGGGTCACGCTGCTTTGATTCGCCCAAAAGGAGCCAAGAATGTATGTTAACGAGAGAAAAACTCCGGCTGTGGCATCAGCATGCAGTGAGAGCCCCCCTCGCTCCCCCAAGCCCTGCGCAGCCTAGCGAACCTGTTGACCCAGTCCGAGTCAGTGATGTAACACGATACTCAAGTAGGCTAAATCTAGACTCTGCCAGTCTGACTCTTAAACAACGAAGCACTCGTCTTTTTTACACCTGACCCCCGCTGCTCATCTACAAGTCCAAGTAGCCCGAGTGCTCAGCCTCTGCTTCCCAGTGCCTGCTTCTTCAGGTAATTGGAGAAGGGCTCGCATTAGCATCCTCTGCTATGGTATTCAAATGTTTCTGGCATCTGTTCCCAGAACGCCGTGCGAACGTGACACCGTGCTGCTGCTCATCAGTTTGCTTTGTGGCGGTGTTTGGTATGCACCTCCATCAGCCCCCGAGGCTCAGGGAGAAAACATTAGGAGCCCTCTAAAAGTGATTGATCACAGCACGTCTTGAGGTAGCGCCGTCTTTGACTGCGGGGCTGTTATCTATGCGATGTCGCTCTGTTGTCAACCATTTCAAGTAGCTCCCATCTGTGCTTTATACAAAACGGAACAAATGGGCGTCTGACTTGTTAGACAAAATGCGGTGCTCCGACTAGATTAAATAAACCAACTTAAATTGTCCCCAATTGATCTGAAAGGACACAGAAGCTGAACCATTGCAACCAATTTACCTGTGTGAGATTTACTGCAAGAGTATCAACATGTTTGCCACGTGATCTCAAAAGCTGCAGTTCAGATTACTTAGTAAAATGCAGCCTGAGCAAAATTGACCGTGGGAAATTTGACGTAAAGGTTATGTTGCTCATTTGACCTAAATCCGATGCCATTTGTTTGCACACTCATCTGTGTTTATGTCCCTAGGCTGTCTCTCTCGGTTTACAATAGCCAGCTTTTATTGTACTCATTTACCAGGTGAGGCGGTGCTGTATAACTGATAACAGTATCTTAGACTGACATGTGAATAATGATGTGTGCAAATATTGACACAGTGTAAAGGATTTAAGGCGGCAATATCATGTTTTTCTAATCATTATACATAAGTCTACTTACTGTAATCAGGCTTGGCTCTGTAGACACTTACTGCACTTTAAGTGAATGAGTTTTGCATTTATGTGGCTTTATGATACCTCTATATGGTAAATCCACAGATTATGAGAGTTAGAACCAGGATTGAAAAACAC